AGTGCTGAGTGGGGCTCTGGGGGGGCCTTAATGCCCCAAGGTTGAGAGGGAGGCACAGAGCGACTCAGAGTGAGGGTGTTAATAAGTTACTCGTGGGCTGACGGTGTGCGTTGTGCCACGCAGGGCGGGAGAGCTGTGCTTCCCCTCCCCAGGATGCTGTCGCAGGGCAGGCGGCTGCTGCAGCCGCTGTTCAGGGGCCGCCTGCTGCTGCTGACCAACACCGTGAGCTGCGGCACGCTGCTGGCGGCCGGCGATGCCCTGCAGCAGTTCTGGCAGCTCCGCCGGGAGCCCCAGGCCCGGTGTCAGCACGCACGCACAGGTGGGTGGCTGCCATCCCTGTCCGCGTTGCTGTCTCTGGTTACCGCATCAATAATGCAGCGGGTGTCGCCTTGCAGGACGAATGTTTGCCGTGGGCTGCAGCATGGGCCCCATGTTGCACTTCTGGTACCTGTGGTTGGACAACGCCTTCCCGGCGCGGGGGATGAGGACGGTGCTGAAGAAAGTGCTCATCGACCAGGTGGTGGTGTCACCCATCCTGGGAGTCTGGTATTTCCTGGGTGAGTTCTGCGTGGGGACGCCCGGCGCAGGGGTGACGCCCAACCTCGACCACCCTGCTGACGGCATCTCCCCACAGGCATGGGCACGCTGGAGGGCCACAGCCTGGAGGAGAGCTGGCAGGAGCTGAAGGAGAAGTTCTGGGAGTTCTACAAGGTAAGCACACCCTTCTGCTCGTCTCTGTGGCCCTGTGGGTGCCCGGCCCGGCAGCCAGCACCCCCAGCTCCCTGCATTCCCTCCCACAGTATGACTGGTGCGTGTGGCCGACGGCGCAGTTCTTCAATTTCCAATTTGTGCCACCTATGTACCGGGTGGCCTATGTCAACACGGTGACGCTGGGCTGGGACACTTACCTCTCCTACCTGAAGCACAGGGTGAGCACCTCCCCAGCTGCCCCATGCGGATGGAGCATGGCACAGCTTGCAGCACACAAGCCCCATTTCTGGTGTTTTGCAGCCCAACCAAAGCCCTGGTGCCGAGAAGCAGCGCAATGCTGGGATATGACAGGGCTGCTCCCAAAGACCCCAACGTTTTTGGGAGCTCCTGCCCACTGCTGTGACCTCACTGCAGGGCCTGGCAGCCTGCGCACATCCTGCTGATTAACTCATCTGCTGATTGCAATTAGGGTGCTGGGGTTGTTGAATCCGCTTGTGAAGATGCTGCTTTCTCTATATTCCAGTGTGGGGAGCAGCGTTTGACTTCAGTCTGTATCCCCTGCTGCCACTCCCTCCCCATGCACACACGTTTCCAGGGGCCCTTTGCCTTTGGGTTTCAGCACTGTTGGTGGCTCTGGGAGTGGCTGCCACTGCATCCACCATGGCAGCATCCGTGGTGCCGAGGTGACAAATGCAACCCTTGCCCCCCAGGCACTGAGCAGCACTGCCCCCAACATGGGACCTTATTCTTTCCAGCCTCCACGTGCCTCAAACCATCCCCTAATGCCCCAGTCGTGCCTCCCAGCCCCCCCCGGTAGCACAGGTCCTTTCTGCTTGAAATCAGCCGCTGGCACCTGGAAGAACTGAGAGCCTCTCCTGATCAGCATTGATTTATTTCTTCACAACATTTCTTTAATACAGTGATTTTTAGGAAATTGTACTCTTTTTGACACTTTTGACATTTGTACAGTACAGTGTAACTCTTCCATAAGTAAACTTCACAAAAAATAGGAAAAAGGGGGAAAGGGAGGAACACGGGACCGCAGGGAGAGGGAGGGGGAGGGAAAAACCTGTAAAATAAAGACACAGCGCTCCAGGAGAAATAAATAGGGGGATGCAAGACCTCCAGGGCAGTCATTGCTATAGCAATATCCACGTATTCACAGTCTCACAGAAGCACGTCGCTATACGGGCACACAGGAGCTGCGCCGGGCGGCCACAGCCCCGTGTTTGGTTCTTCACCTTTAAATAAGAGCTTTGAAAAGTGATATTTCACAAGCAGAGAAACCACACCGAGGGGGGGGGGGGGGGGGGAGTGGAAATCAAGGAACGTATCAGCACGGCCACGGCACAGCAGGTCACGCACACAGCGTCACACCTACGGCTATTTACAAGGAGTCTGTCGTATGTACAAGGAGGAAGACGGCGGGAGCAGCGACCAGCATCTATTTGTACAAATAAACAAGAGGTGGGGAGCGGCCCCCGGAGCACCGTGCTCCGCTGGGACCCTCTGTAGGGACGGGGGGGGTTGGGGGTCCCGTCCCCCTCCCCATCGCCCCGGGGACCGCGAGCAAAACGGCCACAATCAGGTTTTTTTTTGGAGGAATTTGGGCTCATCGAGCGATTAATTAAAAGCAGAAGGGGGCGATTCTCCTCCTACCATCCCAGGCTTAAAAATAAATAAGGTTGGGGGGGGGGGAGGGAGGGGAGTTGGGGGGGCTCAGCTTAATTGATGGGGGGAGCAGGGCAGGCTCCGAGAGGGACTGCGGCCCTTTGGGAACCTGCGAGGTATCAGCAGCAAAGTGCCCCCAGGGGAAAATAGGGGGAGGTGAGGGGGGTCGCAGGGGGGGCCCTAGCAGGCGCAGTCCTGGTGGGGGGGGGCCTGCTGGTCCGACAGCTGCGGGCCCTGCTTGGCGCCGGTGACGGCGGGGTCGGCTGCATCCAGAGACTCCGACATCTTCTCACAGATGATGTCCACCAACCGCTCAAAGGTCTGCTTGACGTTGATGTTGTCCTTGGCGCTGGCCTCGAAGAACTCGAAGCCTGGAGACGGGGAGGGGTTAGAATACGGAGGGGGGGGGGGTCAATGCAGGGCCCCCTGGTGCGGGTTGGGACCCCCTGCCAGCACACAGAGTTAAACGCTCAGGGAGTGGAGCCAGCTGGTGGCTGTGCTCCCACCCAACGCCCAGCAGCGTGGCCGTGGGGTGGTGACAGTGACAGAGGGTGACCCAAGTGGGGGCTGCAGCTCAGCTGAGCTCTGGGGTCACTGTGGGTCACAGCTCTGCTGCGACTTCAGCACAATTACCGCGGGGGGGTTAAACCTGCGAGCATCCCCGCACTGTCACAGGGACACCGTGCCCCACACGCCGCTGTATGGGGGCAGAGCTGACGCTGGGGACCCCCCCATGCTCACCCAGGTGCTCGGCGAGCTGCCGGCCCTTCTCAGCCGACACCACGCGCTCGTCCTCCATGTCACATTTGTTCCCCACCAGCAGCACCTGCGCGTTGTCCCACGAGTACGTCTTGATCTGGGTCGACCTTTGGGGACAAAAAAGGGACAGAAGTGATGGGGGAGGAAGGGAGGGAAGCCGTGCCAAGCAGATGTGGGGGGGAGGGCAGCGCTCACCAGTCCTGCACGGCGTTGAAGGACTCCTCGTTGGTGATGTCGTACATCAGGATGAAGCCCATGGCCCCGCGGTAATACGCGGTGGTGATGGTGCGGTACCGCTCCTGCCCGGCCGTGTCCTGGGGGAGCACGCAGTCAGGGGGGCACAATGCAGAGCCATGCGGTGTGCACAGCTCTGGGGCTCAGCCAGCACCCAACTCCTGCCGGCACGTCGCCCCGGGGCCGTTCTGCACGCAGCGCACAGAACGGAGCTGAGCAGCGCTGCCGGCAAAGCTGGGATGCAGCGCACAGAACTCAGCCAGCACCCGGCTGCTGCCAGCAAACTGAGGGTCCCTCCGTGTATAATGCAGGTATCACCACGCTGCTGCTGAGCCGATGGGCTCCACGCACAGCACCGCTGCCTCGGAAATGCCCAAGGGCACAGAATGCAGCACTGAGCTGACAGCAGCACCCAGCCCCACAGCCCCCAGCACCAGGACAGCCCAACCTCAACCCCAACCCTAACCCTGACCCTGGCCCTAAGCCTGCCCCCAACCCTAACCCTGAGCCCCAGCTCTCACCCAGATCTGCAGCTTGATGCGTTTGTCATTCCTGTAAATGGTTTTGACCTTGAAGTCGATGCCGACGGTGCTGACGAAGGCGGGCGTGAAGGAGTCGTCGGCGTACCGGAATAGGAACGAGGTCTTCCCTACGCTGCTGTTACCGATGATGAGGATTTTGAACATGTAATCAAAGTTCTGGTCTGAGGACTCCTTCTGTCCATAGCGGGAGTCGGTAGCGGACGCCATCTGCAAAGGGAGGAGGTGACGGGCGGTCACCGGTGGGGCCAGTGGCCCCCGTGGCACCGGGCTGCGCTGCTGCGTGGCACTGCTGCAGCGTGCGTGGGGACAGCAGAGTGCTGCGCCGCCCCGCTGCCACCCAGCCCCGCACAGCCCCCACAGCTGCCGCTTGCAATGCTGGATGCGCCGATCACCCCATGGCTGCCGGCAGCAGCGCCCGGCGCATCACCCCGGTGGCCGCCGTTAGCGACGCCGGACGCACAGCCGCGATGCCCACGTTGCCGGTAGCAAAGCCGCGGGCATCGCCCTCACTGCTGCCGTCGGCGCCGCCGGCCGCATCGCCCCATCGCAGCCGCACGGAGCGGGGCCCGGAGCCCGGCAGGATGCGCTGCAGCCGCTCCCGCAGTTCCTCTGCAAAATGGCACCTGCAGCCGTGCCCCCGCACAGCGCGCCCGGCGGGGCTGCACCGGGGGCTGCTCGGGGGTGGGGGGGGGGCACAGCTCCGCGCAGCGCTGCACGGCGGTGGGCGCAGTGAGCGCAGAGGTGGGTGCGCGCT